AGGTATAGTAATAAGTGGTATATTGGTTATTACCTCTTGTAAAATTTGTGCTTATCACGGATGGATTGTGCCTTTTCTTTAAGAATTTTACGTACTTTTATTATTGTTTTTCGATGTGCCTCAGGTGCATGATTATATAATGAAGGAGTCCCGTAAATATTGTGTATGCCATTAAATACATTTGTTATAGCTTTAGCATTACAAAAATTGTCTAAAGTATCCCGTGATCTTTTTTTGTGACACCTTTTTTCACATTCCCAATAATATTGGTTATCCCGAACTTTATTTTTTATCATTAAATAACCGTTTAAAATTAATTTATTGTTCACACCCTCCATTATAGAAAAATAAGTAAAACTTTAACTTAAAAAGAAACGTGACGTGATGTATTAGTACTTAACTGTAACTGAATGAAAACGAAAAAACTATCACTTCGATGCGATAGGATTCGATTATTATTGGTATTATTAGTGTAACATGTGAAACGGGTTAATTTATGTGATGACGGAAGTAATTACTGTTATCATAGGTGATAACCTTATTGTTGTAAGTGTGCATCGGTACAAAAATACAAAACCTATTGAAGACAGTAAATATTAATAGATTTTAGTGTTATTTTGTTATGTATACCTGTTTCGGGCAATGTAGATAATCAGGGCATTATATACATTGTCAGCTTATATCGGGCATTTTATAAAATACCAAATTTTCTACATTGCTCTAAAATATATTGGTATTATATTATAATCGGTCTATTAGCTATTATATATGTATAAGCCTTAAACAGTGGATTAGATAAGCACTAGTATAAGAACAAAATAAAAATGTAAAATTGTAAAAATTATATTAAGTATATCAGAATTTTTCGGCCATGGGTTTTCGACTATATGGTGTTGTCAGCCACATGTACTGTCGGCCCGATGATTGTCGGCTCATCAACCCTTTCCCGTCGTATACCAATGTTTACTTGAAACATTTGAAGCAATAGGAACATAAAGTACACACGCACCGCACACATTAAATGTTCGGCTGCTATCATAGGCATAATATGTAAACATTAGTCGAAAATGGTTGGCAGTCCAGAACACCCCTAATAAGTGTCTACAGCTTTTGTATATTAACATAAAGCACTATTGATGGGTATGTTTAAGATTAAACACGAATTATGGTATTTCATATCAAACTAATCCGTAGCAATTAAAACACAATTAGATAAAGGTAATAAAGGTGCATTGTATTCAATTTGTTTGACGAATTCGTGTGGAAAATAGTTTTACGAGTACATTCCTTTTGCGTGTCAGTGTTTACACACGTGAAAATTATATTTCTGCAGGAAACAAACGACGACGAAATCGCGGATTCCTTGATTAATTTAATCGTCACACACCTGTCACGTGTGACTGCTGATACGCAGTGGCGTTCGCAGGATTTCTCAATGAGGAGGGGGGATTTCAAAAGTAATAATTACTGTCACAAGATTTGGTTTGAAAAATAAAGAAGGTGCTTTCTCAGTTGTTACTTATATTTTGCATAAAATATAAAAAAATATATGGAAAAAAAACTAACATGGTAATAAAATATAATTATAAAAATAATGGCAATAAAATATATTTTTATTTTTTTCCTATCTAATAATTGTAGTCACTTAAATGAGGTTTTTGAAAATTATTGTAGAACTTCAAACTCGATAAGTTCATATTTTTTTTTTTTTTTTTATATTTGCTATAGCTAATCCATTAAAATGTTCCTCCGTTATGGTTAATCTAAAGTATAAATTTAAATGTTGAAATTGTTGAAAATGTTCTCTCTAATGTAGCTGATTAAATTACTTAACGATGCGTTGATTGTCGGAAACTTTAGTAAATTATAACAATTAGGTAAATATATGATTGAAATTCTAAGCATGATTATCGGCACAGATATAACCATGAACTTCAGGTACCATTTTAGATCGTAGGTAAACATAAAAATAAATATCGGCAAGGGGAGGAGATATCAGCTCGTCAGCACTCCCTCCGCGTACGCCACTGTTGGTACGAGTACGGCATGCAGTTGCTGTCGTGTTCGTAACCATCGTCTACGCGTGTGTCATAGACGAGATTCGCGCAGTATGCGTATGCGAAAACCGCGGCGGATTTCAGATCGTTAGACCGCAGTGCGTCGGGCGTGACGCACGCGTGGACCGTACAACGGCGGGGCGGCTCGACTAATTAATTACAGCGCCGAAACAATAAAGCGCGTGCACGGCAGCGTATCGCTTTTGTTCTCGTACATGTATAAATAATATATTTATTATTATTATTGTTATTAAAGTTATTTTTGCGTCCACGTACCGGTATCATAATAATCTACAAGAAATTGAACTTGCGGTAACAAATTATTATATTGTTCGTGAAGTACCTATATGTCATACATATAGGTGATATATATATACGTAATACATTGTTAGGCCATAGATTATTTGGTCTAGACGACGACATCGTGGTCGCGTCTTTGGGCGGGCTTGAAAAAAACTGAAGTGAACGCGATACGGAAAAAGCCTAGACGATGGAGGAGAGAGTTTAACAAGAGAAATAAGCCGCGGTTTACGAAGCCGTGAACGTATTATTTTTGTAGTTAAATGTTTAACTATTTGGAAAGTATTAATAATAATAATAATAATAATTCTTTATTACGGAATAAAATTCCAATTACAAATATTTTAACATAATATAGTGAGTGTAAAGTTGTAAGTATGAATACATTTCAAAACAAAACATTTTAAGAATATATAGATAATTTATAGAAAAATATAACATATTTAGGTAAGTATTTAGTTATGATATAAATAATAATAATAATAAGTAATGACAAATAAAGAATGGATAAGTAATTGTATTTGATGGGTAATTGATCATGGTAATTATTTTATATGATAAGGAAATAATGAAAAGTAAAATAAATATCAAATAAAAAGAAAGACAAGAATGAGTTAATGAAACAAAACCAAAAGCTAAATTAGAATTTCCTGCAGACAATAAAATGTGTCTTTCCTTCTAGAGTTTATTGGGTTTATTTTAAAATTTAATTGATATAGAAGCTCAGGACAATCAATCATATTATGCAATAATTTATTCAAAAAATTTAGATTTAAAGTAAGATATCTATTTTTTAACGAAACAATTTTAAAAAAATCACCAATTTGATCATAACCCGAATGGGGAATTCGGTCAACATTACATTTAAAAGATAGATATCTTAAAAAAATTATTTTGTACTGAGGAATGGCTCGTATTTTGACCGATATTATCTGTATGCCAAATTAATGAGGCATATTCTATTTGAGATCGAACTAATGAAAAGTATAAAGTTTTTAAGGCAGATCTGCCATTCGAATGATCATGAAAGTCTATGCACTAACTTGATACGCTTTTACATTTTTAATTCGGGATCTCTATTGCGCATAATATACAAATATTTCGTTCCTTTAATCTATCATCGAAAACAATTTTTTCATTACTTTTCGGATGTCGTCACCGCCTCTCACCAATGGTTGTGAAAAATAGCAATTCTTTCGAGGAATGTGCACGTAATATGTGTCCGATGTCGGCGGATATTTGAAGTGCAGATGGTGTAAACTGCAGCCCGGCGACAAGATGCGATTTTTAAACAGAACAATGGTGTTTGTAATCGTGGATCGTACACACCCAAATGCTGTTATAATGAATGAAAATTGTACGTATAGCAATGGCGTATTCATATGCAGGCATTATAAACATCTACAGCGGTAAATTTGAAGAATGTACTTTGTTATTCATCATTAATTGAAATGGTCTAAATCTTAAGAAATTATGTTTTATTATTTAAATAAAATTTGTCTTGCATACTTAACTAATTAATATATATTTTATAGTAGGTAGTTTAATAATAATTCAGTTAGTATGGTTTATTATTTTAGTTATTTAGAGCAGCAATATTGCATAGACCTATACACGGGAAACATTTAAATACGGTCCTGCGTACGTGATTATAAATTTCTATGTAAATGCTGTTAAAAAATCGTTAATCTATGTGCATATTGTATAATGGGAATGGCCAATAAATCGATCATGATATAAGTTTGATACGATCGTGACTCCTTTTCATTTTCATTTTTTTTTTTCAGAAAAAAATTTAAATATTTATTTTTTTGTAATTTTTTTTATATTTGTTCAACCCATGAATATAAAAATTAGATAAATAACAATTAATTAGCAATATATAATAATAATAATAATAATAATAATAATAGTAAATAATTATGAAAAACGAAATTATACACTAAGATCGAGTATCTATGTAGGTATATGCACGTAATCTAATGGATTTCTGTATTAAATAACGGTATTCATCGTGTACATATAAATTGATGAAAAATATACTGAAATACGTGTTATGTAAAATTGTAAAATTAAAATTATTATTACTTATTAATATTTTAAGTAGGAGAAATAAATGAAGTGTAACATGCTTATGCATAAACAAAAAAACTATTTTGCTCAGTGACAACTTTTTTTTTTTTTTTGTCGATCATGACACTTAGAAAAACTTAGAAGTCGATCATAAGCCTTAAAAAATTGGCCACCTCTACTGTAAAGTGTATACGCCAAAACGACGTGCTAAGAAAATGGTATTGAAAACAAGAACATGTATTTATATTAAATATATTTTACATAATTAATTGACATCGCAATATAAATAAATAAAATGTATAAAACTTATTATGTTAGTTCAGTCTGATACACAATAATTTGAGCGTTTACATATAAATGTATATAAACTGAGAGCCCTTATCTTTACAATATAGCTTCTCTAGATGTATATGTTTATATACGCATGTATATTTAAGTATTAGAAGGTATACATAATTAAAGAATTTAAAATACTGTTAATATACGCTACCTAACCTATATACAAAATTTAGTGATGTTTGATTGAATACAAAATAAATAAGTATATATTAGTTATTATATATACTATAAACTACGATACGATATTTACAAAATACAGCATTCTGGCGAAATAATAAATAAAAATAAAAAAGAATACAAGTTCATTTTTTAGACGGTCTAGTATAACTTGTTGAACACTTGTTACGGCCGTGTGCACTCCAACTCCTGTATTAAAAAAAAAAGTAAAAACAAAAATAAAAACATACACACGCACTACAAGGGTTAGTGGAAAAATATGTATATTATCTCGGTCAATGACTTTGAAAAGGATGTTAAACTATTAATGATAATATACGGTCGTCTCTGTATATCTCAGAGATACGCACCAAACACATAAAATAAACCATTAGTTTCACTATATGTATAAACAATATTATTAATACGTTCAGAACCAAACATCGAACAACTACACGTAATAACTCTACGTACTATTTTAGGCATAATGGATGAAATTAAATAGTTTTTCGGTCGAGTGCTTTGTTGCATTTCAAAATCTTGATGCAAACATACTTAAAAGTAAAAATATTAACCAATGCGGAATTCGTAACCCGTTAATCTATTATAAAATGCACTACACGTTTATTATTTATAAACGTAATTTTAAAATATTTATCCAAAAATATTAAGTGCACGATCAATAAATTATATTTAATTTAATTATCAATAAAATTAAATAAAGTACCTACTCGAATGCCACATATAAATAATTTTGAATGTTGACATCGGGTAAAGGCACCCATTGCCCTCCGTTAAACGCGGCTATGAGACTAAATTATTTTATTGACGTGTGTACCATAATTTTTTTGTTTTTCGGTGCGAACGATAAGAAGTTTTTCTTAATATATTTTTATTCAAATATGCATATTAAAAGTCTCGTAAAAAAAAAATTCACACATGCACACGCACAAATAATGCATTTGAATACAAAGTATATTCATATGTTTAACAGGCGAATGGAAATAATGGAAAATATTAATGTATTTTACCACAATCGAGTAAAACACATGTTTTCCTTAATTCTCAATTTCTTAAACCGGTAAATACACCGATGTACCGTTAGCGCACTAGGCGTGAAGTATCAGACAGCATTAAAAAGTTCACGGAATAGTGACCCTTTCGCGATGACCGCGCGTTGCGGATGAGAAATAATTTGAACATGCTGACGGCAAAGTTGGAAAAATAGTAATAGTATTTTATTTTTAATACTAGTTTTTATTTTGGCGGCTACAGATAAAAATGTTTGAGTTCTTCAAGATCTACAATATTAGACTTACATTTTATGTAGTGTTGTTAATTTTCTTGTTATCGTGTTGTTCTATAATATTTAAGATTTTATCTTCGACTTTTGACTCATAGCAGGGGTCGAAATAATACGGCGAGATCACCTTGTTAATTTACGAGTATGTATCAAAGTCGTCAGGAAGTTAGATTCATAGTAAGTTTATTGTTTTAAATAATAATATTAAATGCCTCATGTTTGAGGAGTTGCATAAAACAATTAAAATGAAAATAAACAATTATTTGTAACAATATATTACAAGTAGCAACAATAGTAAAAAAATATACAATAATATGTGGTACATTATTCTAATTAATGGTTTGTTTACGTATTTTATATATCGAATTAACACATATATTTATTGCACTGAAATGTACCATTCCCTTTTTTAATAACATTAGTTTCTTCAATCGGTGAAAATTTCAATTTCTTGGTAATAATATTTTTTAATTACTATATAACAAATAACGATTTCGTTGGAAAATAAAAGAATCATCTTTTTAATATTGTTTGTGTTAATTTCCCATTAGATATAGCAATTAAAGAAAAATATTTGAAGCACTCTTTACAATTTTTTCGCTTTACTCAGCATCTATAAACAATGTGTTTAGTAAGAATAATAATTATAATTTATTATTATACTCATATGTATAAGTATGTTTATATCCACTATACATACATTTATAAAATTAAGTTTGGCTTAATTTTAACGATTTTTTTCTTCCTATTTTTATTTTTAAAGTAATTCCTGAAAACTGGTTCTTTAATCTTTATACTATAAAGTAGATCGTGTAATAAACTATACTAACTTACATCAATATAATGATTAGGTAGATTGTAGATAATATATACGGTCGGATTTAAAAATAAATTATTTTTCATATTATACCGCATGGTACTTAAACTTTTAAAAATGATTTAGATGTAAACGCCTAAAAAAAATGTAATTGCCTGGGAACTTAATACCGTTTTACGGTTTTGAGGTAAACATAATATTATATATTATTTCTGAACGATGAAACAAGAGATTACATTTTTTTTAGGTTTCAAAACTCTACTTTCGAACTTTAGCGTTGAAATAGTGGTAATTTATTTACATGTGGGATTAGCAAAAAAAGTTAAATCTGTGATAATATAGATTATCAAATGACAGAACCGTTTTTTGATTTAACATAACATAAACTATGAGCAGAAGGAAATGAGAAATCACTATGACTCTGTACAGTAATATTTTTACACAACAGTCTATAAAATGTCGTCGATTTAATTTGATAGAAGTGAGTTTAAAAAAACCCAAAAGAAGGTAACCACTAATAAATTGCATTTTATTGAACAGTTAAGAAAAATGATAATATAATAACTATTTTTTATTATATTTTTTTGACCAGATTTTTTTTTTACTCTATGTGGGGATTTTAGCCACATGTTATTTCGTACGACTACATTGAAAAATTCATAATACACATAAGAAGAAAATGTAGTATTTATTTGAACCCAACAAGCAATTATTTGGAGACCTTTAGTTACAATCAGCATTTGCAGTGCAGCACTCGCATAGGAAAAATAATTTTTCAGAAAGTTGCGGGGAGGTCATAAAAATAGTTTTAATGAAATGAAAATTGAACAAGAAAAAAAACCAATAAATATACGATTTTATGAGGTTAATGTTGTATCAAAAAATAAGAATCAGCTGCAGTTATATAATAAGCGATAAGGGAAACGTGTGACAAGTAAATGCGAATTATACCATTGATTTAATAATAATAATAATAATAATAATAATGATTACTTAAGTATATTTTAAAATGCGTTTACAAAAAATGTCGACTGGACTCACGCAGTAATAGAAAATACAAAGACAAAACCATAATACACGTTGAATCAATCGATTTCTACGAAATTAATTGTATACTTTATGCCTTTCTCCGCGATCCGAAAAAACATGTACAGGATACATACGAATGATGTTATTGTAATAGAAAAAACGTAGTAAACTGGTGCAAAACGAAACGGGTTCTTTGCGTTCGCGGTCGCCCAATGGTAATTGCGTTTTGATTGCCACGCGGAGTAGATTTTTATTTTTCAATTTACCGGCCATAACGGCTATTGTAATATTATTTGCACTATAAATACGTTTGGCGCATGTGGGCAGTGGTCAATGCGTTTCGTTACAATACGGAGTTTCGTGGTAGTTTCGAAATGGTGGCAGCGGAAAACGCTTTCTACAAAAATACGAAAAGCATATTTTGTATAAGGTCTCGAGCGGATTTCTTTGAAAAAATGACAAATCATATTGAACACAATAATAAGACGTGTCGTTGTGTTTTCTCACATAATGTGTACTTATTTTAATATTAATTTCTGTAATGTACTGCACACGTAAGCGGATTCACGGGGATTGTTGGGTGTGCCCCGGTACCTTCCGAATTGTTTTAAATGGAGCCTTACACTTTAAATAAACGAATTAGGGACCCTCAATTATATCAACTGGTGTTACTCAAACCAAATATTATTTGGTGAACAATTATGTCTCTTAATAGAAAAAATAAAACAAAATATTTTAAATTTTCGAGCAAAAACTTATAATAATAATATTATAGCTACAATTGACTACAATAGCATAAATCATAAACAATTGGAGCTATCCAAGAAAAATATACGAGGTTCAAAGGAATCGTATTCATTGGGACTAATATACCACGATATCGAATAAAAAATTAAAGTTATGTTTACCGAATTATTTACGTATTGTAATTGATCGAATGTAACAACACGTTTTGTTAAGATAAGGCCTATAAGTATTGTAGGCACCCTCTGAAATACAGGTCTGCGCACACGTACGAGTATTCTTGTAAAGCAAGCGATTGCCGTCGTCGGATGCGACACACTACGTGCAACGATGACGTGTGAACGAAAAACGTCTGGTCACTGCGCGTCCCGTTTTACGAATTACTTCGGACGTGCGTGGGCGGGTGAAGGTACGTGGTACCCATTACGTTTTCTTCGTCGGTCCCGCGGCACGCTAACGTGACAGACGGACAAGGACGTTCGAAAGTGTGTGCCTGTACGCGTATCGTATTCCGACCGTGGGAAACGCGTGTAGACGCCGACGGATCGACGTGTCTCTTGATCGAGTGTCGAACGACGACGAACGGGGTGACAAAAGTTTTTGACGGAATATCGCGGACGCGTATTTTTTAAGAGAGACGCTCGGCGGGATCTGAGGACACTACAGGAGCGACGGCTGAACGCAAAACGAACGACGGAACGGAACGGGGTTTGCACGCGTATGCATTTAATGTCGTGTTTTGAAGGTAGGGGGGGTGCTCAATAGTGGTGTGAGCTAGTCGGATTTATGAGGGGAAGGGAAGGCAAATAAAAACGTTTTAAATACCAGCCTGTGAAAAAAAAATGCCGCGCTCGCATAATATACAATTGCGTCGTTCAAGTGCATTGATAATCGGTACGTTTGGTAAATCGACCATCGGTTATCGATCGATTGCACGCTCGTCTATCAAATTAAAGGGGGGGGGGAATCGTCCCTAGATTTGCACCTTTGGCGCTAAAATTACGTTTATCACGGTACCAGGTGTAGTGAACGATATGTATTATTTTCATAGCGAATTGTTCGGGAAGTGCTAATTTTAGTACTAGGTGGTGCCACTAACCCATAACCTTAGATGGTGCGCGTACGACGTGCAGCGCACGGGTGATGTGATGTGGACTTACACGATGCGGGACTGAATGCGTGTGTTGTTCAATCGTCGCCGCCGCCGTAGTACGCCTTCACGATTTTGTGGTACTGCGGTACGGCTGCTGCGTTCTTGCTGCTGACCACGTAGAACCCGTTCGGCTTGCCATTGTTGACGAACGACTTTTTCACCGGCTTGCCAGCGGCCCTGGGCTTGTAGTAGAACGTGCGCCGCGGTACGATTTTCGAACCGGCCGCGGACGGCGAGTCGAAGTCACTTGGCTGCTTGTACTGGTGGTGATGCATGTCGTTGGAGTTCTTGAACCGGCCGCCCTGCAGCGCGTGTTTGATGGTCGGCAAGTTCCAGTGATACACCTTGGCGGGCTTGCCGTTGGACACGAAGCCCACCGGCACGGTGTTTAGGCTCTTGTACGGCGTCTGCTGGTTCTGATGGTGCTGCAGCTTCTGGTGCATGGAGCCGTCGTCGTAGAAGTGAGCATGCGGCGGTAGCTTGACCACGAACATCTGCGAGTCCAAGGGGCCTTTGCCGTCCGCACCGCCCGCCGCGTACTTGCTCCTCGACTGGCTGGCCAACCGCTTCCGGTGATGGTTCGCGCCACCGTTACCGTTACCCACCCTGTCACCGTTCGTCCGCACCCTTTTCATGCCCAGTCGGTTCAGCAGCTTGGCATTGTGCTGCTTCGCGGACGACTGCTGCTTGGCCGACTTTACCTGCACCCCCGCGGCCGCCGGTTCCGTCGCAGCCGCCGACAGCTCGTCTTCTGCGGTCACCACGTGCCTGACTGGGAACCGTTTCCCGTCGTGGTCGTTCGCTTTCGCCTCGTCGCCGCCACCGTTGACGATGTCGTTACCGCTGTAGTGCCCGTCCGCGGACACCACATTGGTGCTCTCCTCCTTGTGCTTCTTCGCCGCCGACGCCGGGACGACGCTCAGAGCTGTCACCAGAGCTGCGGTAACCCACATCAGTAAAGCAGTTTTGAGCATCTTGCTTGGGCGTACTTCTGGAAAAAAAAAAAAGTGTCCCGAACACATTATTGACGTACACTCGCGCGAACAATCGGAAAATATTCGCATCCAAAGTGAGTGTAGAATTTATAAATTCTACACGCAGTGCTCGGGAATGTGCTTGTTTCATAGGAACACGAGTATTCAATGATAATATTCGCAAAATCGTAACCTATTCCTATGATAATAGGACACGAACACGTAGTTTTTTTTTGTGTGTAAAAACTAACAACCACAGTTTAATTTTTCTTATTCGATCACAGAAAATTATTATATTATTTATTTAAGTACACATCGTTTTAGGTTGAATTTTTGGGTTCTTAATTAAAAATGGTTTTCAACTAGATATATTGTGAGATTAATTCAAATCAGATTTCAAAATTCTTTTAGTCCTCAATATGTATTATTCCTTTATAATCCTCAAAACGATATATTAGTTCTTGGTTTCGTCGCGTTGTTATCATTGTTATATTATTATTTGCACTTGTCTGGAACGATAGAGAAACAAAACGTTTTCCGTATTCACCGCGATCGTTCCATGCGATTTCAACGTGCATCTCCATCTAAAAAGATTTCGTCAAGATACCGTCGTACACAACGATGGTGAACGTACGTTTTACTCACACTTTATGGTACATTATTATATTACTATCACGCCCTACTAGCCTACTCTGTACAACTGATACAATTGAACGTACAATTCGCGATCAATTCGTCTCAGCGGTCCGCAGTTGGTAATAATAGATTAGGTTTATATTATGAAATGAATACTCGTATAATGGGTCTATACATCGATATATTATTGTCAGTGCAGTGTGTGACTTTTCGTATTAATTTTTCCTCCCTTCACACTGTTCATTCGACATTATGTTTGAAATTCAATTTCTCCAAAAAAAAACGTTTGAGTTTTCAACTCGGCCACACGTGATACGATGTTATAACGAAACACGTTGACACAAAAAACCGTAAATGATAATTATGAAATTTAAATTACGTCTTAATAGTTCAATTCTCTGCACGGTATGTACCGCGGGTGAAGCTTGAAATCAGTGTAAAACGGAACATTTCTTTGGTGTCAAGCGGGTTATTGGTACGATAACAACGCATAATATTTTCGAGGTTTACCAGAACGCTGTACTTGAATTTCGTTGAACCTGTAGGCTGTTGTAAACATGTGCATTATAGTACTAAATATACCTATTGCAGTGCTGCGTTACGTCCAGAAAATGAGTGAATAAATGTTTTCATAATGATCGTCGAAGTGTCGGACACAGTTCCTAATTTACGGGTAATACGTACACAATACACACACACATACACACAATAAGTGTGTTGTTTCTCGTGATGAAATAAATATGGCCCGGTGAATATCTAACGCGGTCGTAAGTCAATGTCTATGCGATGATAAAAGCAAATCGTCTACCAATTGTTACGTAAAGTGCATAATTTCCACTGCAGTTTAGTAAACAAATTGTTGTTTATAACGTGTATTTCGTTCTAGAAAAAAAATAATTAAGATTATTGACGATGAAACGTTTTAATGAACGTTCATGGCAAATGTATACGTGACACTGTGATAATATTGTTAAATATAAAAGTCCGATAGTTGCAGATATGTTATAAAGTAATATTGTGAATAAGTAAATGCGAAATAATACTATAATATTTTTGCATCTAACATATTTTATTACACTTCATAAAATTAATTTGTAAAAATGTTAATTTAGATGCCTCTTTAATACAAAATAGTGTTTTTTAATCATATGGTAAATGGAAAAAAAAATATTTTACTTCGTGGAAATAAATTTACATTAAACTTAACAATTTTATGACTAATAAAAGTAAGCGATTTCTAAGAACATCCACTCTATAGTTATGGCTAAAACAATGTTATATATTTTATAACTTTAAGCTTTTAATCTATTAAATTAAAAAAAAAATATTAAGATATTTAAGGATAATTAACTGTTATTTTAATTAAAATTAAATAACGCTAAGAATAAGATGATTATTGCAATACTACAGTAGGTATAGGCATATACAAGGATTAATAATTTAATGACTTATAGATAAAAAGAAAATAGTACGTTTTTAAATAAATTATTTTAGTTCTTAGAAAAAAAAATAAAAACTGTTCACTTTACCATAATTATGAGATGATCGAGCAATGTAAAACAATTTTATGATTGTTAAAATATAATAAAATTAGTTTCTGTAAGGTTTCAGGCAATAAACTATAAAATTCCTTAATTAATGTACCGTTAATCGTTATAGTTTAAGTATCACAATGTGTACACCCGTGTTCATAATAATTAATATTATTATTCTTATACTCTAAGTACATCCTACGTACATATTTTATGTTATATTTATACTTTTCAAACGTCATACGTTAATGTAATTCTTACTAAACAGTTAAAGGGAAATACTAAATGAAGACTCATTCATCGCGTACCTACTCGTATATTCTACGTGATTCTCGTATAATATTAATACGCTGTACTGCTATTTACATGTATTATGCAGACTGTCAGGTCATTCAACAATTTTGACTGATTAAAAAATCAACCATATTTAGATACATAATAGTGATAGTCAGGCATTATTATTCGATAATGAATCATGATATCGTTAAATTTGTGAACTCTGCTCTTAAATAACGTTCTTCGGCTTACCAGTACCGTTCACGACCAGTAATTTATATAATCGCTTTGTAATACAAAAATAACAACAACAACATATTGGTCGTCGTGAAGGACTACTGTTAACGGGGAAAAAATGAAGGCCCCTGGGCGTTGTAACGAGCCTTCGACTATTATGTACAATTAGGTCAGATATTATAGATTTATTTAATATATTTTATGAGGTTTTTTTTCTGTATCAATATTCGTATATAATTTTAATAAAATGTTTAAAACGTATAGTTGTAAAAACCGGTCTTGCACGGATCGGTCGACCACCCAACTCCCACGACAAGTAATTCGTTATTTCTCCATCCTTCTTCTTCTTATTATTATTATTTGATTTAAAACACTGCAGTGTCACGCCTACGTGTTTATGGTCGTAGAACATGTTTTAATGAGGTACAGAGAATACAGTTTAAGTATTATTATTTTTACTTATATACTCCATGTGTAAATGTGCCTTGTCACCCGGCAAAAAAAAATTATAATAAAGACATTACACTTGTATTTTTAACACAACTTCGTGTTTAAAAACTAAGAATGAACACCACAGCGCCTTATTTAAAACGACGAGATGTTCTGTACGCGATAATAATAATAATAATGTACTATAGTGAATTGAGATATGAATAAAATAAAATAGTAAATAAAAATAAATTAATAAAAAAAAAATAAAAAATAAAACAACACGTATTATTCCCATACATGTAGAAAAAATTTGTCCGCGTACCTCTGAGCAGTTGCGCAATTTCAGTTTTTGAGTGGGAGGAGACAAAAGTTTTGACCGATCCATAATATAACTAAAAAAAAAAAAAACCGCTCGCTAACAGTTACATCACAATACATTAATAAAATACTGTATTAGCAAGATGTTTGTTTAAATAATTTGAAAAGTTTATTTCTAGCAGGCTTGCAGCCCATATCCGGCCCAACAGTGGCCAGCTAATGGAAGAGGGGGGAAATGACCCCCCCCCCCCCCCAAATGACGCCACTGTCTCTCAGTAGACGCTGATGATCAAAATAATTTCGCGCATTGCACTAGATCGACACATTACGATAGTCTATTAATTTAATATAAAATATTCTTACATCTTAACATTGTGTAACCGTGTCGAACTCATCACTCGGCTACAAGAATACGTAGAACAAGAGAAGACACCAAAATCTACCGTCGACGCAAACAAAAATGGAATCGGTATACAATGTCGAATAGTATTTCACCGAACGCGGTGTATCTTTGCGAAATAATACACGTGCGATCACTGACCGATTGGCACGAAACCATCAATTAATTAGCGTCTGTTAAACGCCCCGCGATAAGTATCGGTTTGCGCCCAGCCCAGGAATCATCTTACCAGCACAGCACTTACGCGTTACGTGAACGCCGTTTGCACTTAATATTTAAATAGCATTACGCACGCGCGCGTACGTAACATATCACACGCAACCGCGGACGGTGAACGCATAACGTATTATTGTGACGAGATATAATGCATGTACCGGAGCCACCGCTGCCGCCGTCGTAGTGGCGCCACGAACGCGCGCGTTTTAATCGGATTATAATTATTCCGGTCGTTTGGAGGGTCGTGTATAAGTAAGAGGGTGCCTATAAATAGGATGACGACATTCGATCTGGACGGGTTCGTCGGATTCTTCGTTGAGGCCGAGTGGGATGTTGGAACGATAATTTCGATATTTTTTATCGTCTGCGGAAACGGACTGCGCAAGGATAATCAAGACCTGTTTAACGTGCACACAACGGGTCATGGATGCAGTCTCTTTTCGAGATTCGGGCGAACGCGTTGTACGTTTACAGTGAACGTATTGCAATAAGACGTGAGTCACGCAAACGGTAGTTAGTATCGGTGCCGATCGCACTCGTGTTCAGTGCAGGGGTGGATCGATGCGGTCGACTGCTTTTAGGGGTGTCGATAACCAGTACCGTAGCAACCGAACAAAAAATAACAATATACATTTTAAATATGTCATTTATATATAGATAAAGATATTATTTGATACTTAATCGACTTATTAAAACTATTAACAATAATTTATCGAGTTTTTCTTGAGTTTCTATTTCAATAAGTTAATTAGAAAACAAAATAAAATTGTAAAATGGCAATGAATCCATTAGTTTTCAATTGATTATTTTTTCTTTTACTTGTCTCGTTGGTTTATTTATGGACCTAAAGCTATTCAAATGTATAATTATATTCTTATAGATTTTTTTTTTAGAACAATTTTTTAATTTAAACAATTATTTGGTTAAAATATACATACAATTATATTAATTTTCCAAATTTAGGTAAAAT